TCACATAGGAAGATAGGAATTGCCAATAAACACATAAAAATGCTTTATCTCACTAATATTAAAACTAAATTAAGTACTGTTTATACCCATCAAAAAAACAAGCAAAACAAAATCATTGCTATCTGGTTGATTTTAAATCGTAGTGACCCTAAGGGACAGAGTAGAATTGCCCTATAGGGTTTCCAAGGTTATAATCTTTATAGACGCGAACTGCCTCATCTTTTTCCCATGGAATGCCTAGTGGATTTCAAACTCCCAACCTTTTGGTTAGCAGTCAAGTGCTTCACAACTTGCACTACCAAGGCTCCTTACTCATCAAAATGGCCAAGTTAAAATATTTGATAATGTCAATTATTGACAAAAATATAGAAAAAGATCAACCATGTGATATCAGAAGAGCAGTATTTGCACAGGAGGCTAGCTCAGAGGGCAGGAATGCATGGCAAAGAAGGACACAGGGAAAAGGTAGCCACAGGGAGGAAGTGAGAAGAGGGCTATTACATTGTGGAGACTGCAGTCAATGTCATGAAACAAAATGTTTATGAACTGTTGTATGAAAAATTAATTTGCCCTGTAAACTTTCATGCAAATCACAATAATAGAAAAATTTATATATAGATAACACACACACACACACACAATTTAAGTGACTTCCTCAAGGTCATGTAGTGAGTGGCAGAGCCAGGAATCAAACTTGGATTATCTGACACCAGAGGCCAAAATCTAAATCACGATCTCTACTTTAAAACTTGAACCCATTTGGAATTTATTTTGGCATACATGTAAGCCAGTGATCATAATTAATTTTCCTCAAATAGTCAATTATCCCAGCACCATCTGAATAAGCCAACATTTCCTCATTTATTTAAGTTTATCTTTAAATTTATTACCAAAAAATTTAAAAAAAAAAGGAATATAGGAAATGGGAACGTGTTCTGTTGGTGGGAAAAATTGCAGGGTTGCAACCTGGTAATATCTGTACCGGTACCTATACGAATTCCTAAAGGCCATTTATGGGAGCTCTGGTAGTGTAATCCTTAAGGCATTTGACTGCTAACCAGAAGGCTGGTGGTTCAAACCCACGAGCCACTCCTCAGAAGGAAGACTGGGCAATCTGCTTCCACAGAGATCCCCCTCCAAAAAAGGGGGAGCTCTGGTGGCATAGTGCCTGAGGCATTTGACTGCTAACCAGAAAGCTGGTGGTTCAAACCCTCTAGCCACTCCTCAGAAGGATAGCACCTCGGAAACCCAAGGAGGCACTATGAGTTGTAATTGACTCTTCGGTAGTGAGAGACCGTCATACTTTTCACTTCTGTACAAGCAGTTAAAGTGAGCAAATTAGATCTAATTGTATGAAAAACATTGTTCAATGCAAATGAAACACACTGCACAAGTAAATACATATTGTTGTTGTTGTTATGTGCCGTCGAGTCGGCCCCGACTCATAGCGACCCCTCCTTGGGTTTCCGAGGCAGTATCACTACGGAAGTAGGATTGCCCAACCATATTGGATAGCATTTATGTAAATACAAAAAAAAATCAGAATAAATATACTCATATATGTTTATACATTCACAAGGAGCAGAAGTCTGAAAATGTAAGTGAGGAGGATACCCATCTGAAGGGTAGTCATTAGTGTTGGGGAAGAAAAGTAGGGTAAGGTTGGGGTTGGAGTTGCTTTAGATGAATCTATAATATTTTATTTCTAAAAAGGATGATCTGAAACAATTATGAGAAAACCTTAGCATTTGTTAAATCTGGGTAATAAATAATATTCATAGCTGTTACGTTATTTACTATACTTTTATAAGGCCAGAGAGTTAGGCAGGGCATAAGACATACTGGACTTTGAAGGTCCGAGTTTGGATTTTCCTTTAAATGCAAAGAAGCCCTTAGAAAGTTTAAACAGCAAGGTCTGATCTGATTGTGGTTATTACCAGGTTGCTTTAGCTACAGTGTAGAGAATAGATTGTTGCAAGGTGAGAGAGGAAGCAGGAAGATATTAACAGGCTGATGTAGAAGCTGGGTGATGTAATAGAGATGGAGTAGATACATGTGTTTCACCCTATTGACTATCTAAAAGTTTATGTTGGTATTATATGCCCTCGATTCAGACCTGACTCATAGCGACCCCTCCTTGAATTTCTGAGGCAGTATCACTATGGAAGTAGATTACCCCAAAAGTTATAGCATTACTAAAAAAAAAAGTGTGCTTTCCTATTTCCCCATGTCTTTAACTATAAGAAATATTAAAAAAAAAAAAAACTTTTCTCAAATATAGTGAATGCCTTTTAAAATATTCAGTCTTTTAATTACTAGTGATGTTAAAGGTTTTGTGGATTTTTTCCCCCATGTTTATTGGTCATTTCTTTTCATCCGTTTGTGAATTATCTTTTAATGTCATCTGCCCAGTTTTCTATAACCCATGTTTACCCATGTTTCTATTTCTATCTCTTTTGTTCTTACTTTTTTCGGTAACATTGGCCCTTCCATGCTTCAAATATTTAAATATTTGCCCCATTGTTTACGGAGCATGTATCTTTAACTTCTACCTCACCATGGCTGCACTTCGGAATCACCAAAACCAAACCAAACTCGCTGTCATCAGGTCGATTCCAACTCGTAGTGACCCCTGTTGGGTTTCCAAGGCTGTAGACCTTTATGGAAACAGACTATGTCATATTTATTCCATGGGGGTGGCTGATGGGTTCAAATCACAGACCATTTGGTTAGCAGCCAAATGCCTTAAACACCAGAGCTCCTTATAGAATGACCAGAGAAGCTTTTAAAATTACCTATTCCTGGCCACTTGCCCAAATATTCTGGTTTGGGTTTAGATTGATGCTCAAGCATAGGTATTGTTTTAAAGCTCACCAGATGAGAACCACCGCTTTACAGGTCTGTTTGTGCTCTAACTTTCTGTAATTCTACTAGTCATTTGTACCAACAAAAACCCTGCCTTCAGCAATTTTAAGCAGCCTGTACTTGGAGATGCCTTTAGGCAATCTCCAGAGACCTTGTAGCTCTATTAGCAGTAGCACAGCCATTGTCAAGTGGATTTCCACTCATGGTGACTCCTGTGGGTCAGAACAGACTTGCTCCATAGTGTTTTTAAAGCCTGGAGACCAGATCTTTCTTCCAAGGTGCCTGTGGGTAGACTCAAACCTCCAAACTTTCTGTTAGCGGCCAAATGCATCGACCCTTTGCAGCACCCCGGAACTCTGTAGTCCTGTAGCCTGTTCCAATCACCCAGAGAAAAGGTGCTTGATACTTTTTATAAATGTCTCTTGAGATTGTCATTTCCATTGGTTTTCTCAGTATACTGTTACAAAATCTAATCACTAAATTATATGCTCTTTGACAGTCATTTGAATGTTCTGTAATGCAGAATCTACATTATTGTCAAGAATGCTGTACTTTGTAGGCCATAAATACTGTTGAATAGATACATGTAGGACAGTAATTTTTAATGATTGACCAACTCACATTTTTAAAGCAGTTTTTCCTAAGAGATCAAATAATTAAAACAATAATACCAATACCAATTTTTGTCTACCAATTTCACAAAAATGTGTTAAAGATGGTAGCACCCAGGGCGGCAGGGTAGAAGGCTCTGTCATCCACATTTGTGAGAACATAAACTGATGTGTTCTGAAGGGCAGTTTTGTCTCTTAGAATTCTATGGAAATCATTATGGATGTGTGAAAATCAAGAGTTTTTATTGCTAAAAGCAGGAAATAAAAACAACCTAAATGATCAAAAGTAATAAACCTTTCATAATCATTAAAATTCATGTTTAAGAATATTTTTAAAGTCACACATACAAAAATATTAAAAATATTTTAAATGGGGGAATATGTTATAAATTGCGACATGACTTGTAGTATATTTATATGTATTGAAAAAGATCAGAAGGCTAGATACCAATATTTAACATCTTGGTAGCAGTTTCGTGAATGATTTAGGGTTTTTTTTTTTTTTTCATATCTCCATTTAAAAATTGCTATGCAATTGAGCAGGAGCTCTGGTAGCCTAGTGCCTAAGGTACTTGACTGCTAACCAGAAGGCTGGCGGTTCAAACCTACCAGCCACTCCTCGGAAGGAAGGTTGGGCAATCTACTTCCGTAGTCCACCTCTGAAACCCAAGGAAGGGTTGCTATGAGTCAGGTCCAACTCAACGGCACATAACAACAACAACATGCAATTGAGCATATGTTAGTTTTGTAATAAAAGAATAAAAGATTTCTTTTGTTATGTTCTTTAGGGGTGACAAAAAACCAGGACTGTATTTCTTCCATTCAATTTGGAAGAGCTAATAGAAGACCTTAATTGTTCTGAAAACTTCTTGGGAAAAAATATTTCCACTTTTTAAATTATGCTTTTGCCTATATAACATAATGTAACATAATATGGTACAATATATTTTAAATACATTTTCATCAAGTACTCTACTATACAGTCCAAAATATCTGATTACATTTTTATAGTTGTTATCTTATTATTGTTTTAAAGATCCAAACTCTATGGCTTCATACCACTTAGAAATAGTTTTGCTATTGCAAATATTAAAATGACTTAAAAATATGTATACAAAAATAACTAGAAACAGCAGCTTGACAAGTTATAATTTTACTGAAGCAATTTCTAGTATGAAATGAAAGAAGACTAACCACTATTAGAATTAGTATCTCTTTTTGAATATGTAATCATGTAGAAAACCTTTTATACATTTTCCCCAAACCTGAGCATTATACATCTATAAAGATATCAATTGAAGGCTGCTGAATCTACCCTGAAAAACATGGCTATCATTCCTGGAACTCTTCTCACTATCAGGCTTAAGAATTCTGACCATGTTTATCTAAACAGCATGGTATCTAAAGACTATCTTTATTTTAAACCCTCAAATTAGTCCTGTTTGTATCACCACCCCATTTGGAACGTTCTTGACATAGAGCACATGACAAAAGGCCTTTTTCTGCTTTCTTTTGTTTATTAAGGGGACGGCTTTGCTGACTGTAGATCAGAGAAGATGGGAAGATCTGAAGAGTAGACTGAAGATTGCACAACCTCTTCATCTCCCACCTCGCCCGGGTATCAAAGATGTTCTGATTTTATTCATGTTGGGCACTAGGGTTCATGAGTCCCCAGGAGTCTAAGATTTAAATTAAAATAATAATCGTGACACCACTAGGAGGTTGTGCATAAGTTAATACAGAAACAGGCTCCAAACTACAGATCTCTCCATAAGGCTATTAAAATCAGCCACCCAAAGGCTGTGCTCCAGTGCTTTCAGGATAAGCCTTAATGAAAAAATGAATTTTTAAATAAAATATATTTGTGCTTGCCTTTTAGAAATATGAGTGAAATGTGTTAGACTGACAAAAATTGAATGATGCGGTTTTCTTTTCAATACCATCAGCACCATGTGCTGTCCTTTTAAATATCCAAAGCCAGCCATTCTCGCAAAATGCTTCACAATAGATTGAACAGTAGAAGGAAAAAAAAAAAAAAAAAAAACCCAAAACACTAAAGTAATAGGTTTTAAGATGAACATTAAATAAAATGAAAGACAAAAAAGTAAATATGACCTATGTCCAAAATGCCCTTGCCTAAACCTTTCTTTTACAGATAATGATGGTTTCAGAGCTAAAATGTATGACATAACCCAGCATCCATTTTTTAAGAGGACAATCGCATTACTTGTTTTGGCCCAGTCGGTGTTGCTGTCTGTCAAGGTACTTTGCTTCATCCTAAGACTCTGGGAGGGAATTTTTCATTCATTGGTATGCCCCAGACTAGTGCAAGCTGACATACATATCTATTTACTGTCTACTTTCCTTGGTATAAAAATTAAAACTCATAGTCCTGTCAAAATGCGAAAGCAAGGGGAGAAGTCTGTGTGTCTGATACATGCTGGGAAAACCCTGTGTACTGTTTCTGTTGCAGTGGGACGTGGAGGACCCAGTGACCGTTCCTTTGGCAACAATGTCGGTTGTTTTCACATTCATCTTTGTCCTGGAGGTACTGTGATGAGTCCTCTGGCTCTGGAGTATGCCGTGCACATTTTACAGTAAAACTGTGTCCTCCTTTGATGGCACTTACTTTCAGCTTTGTATTCTGTAGACTTTGAAGCCTTTTTCCTTTAGGTAGCATGCTCTGAAGACATTTCCTTTTTAGGACGTTTTCCTTAATTTGAACAAAAAGTTCACTTTATAATCCAGATCTTTATAACTGCAGAAATGCTGCTATTGATTGTTCTGTCTGAATATTGGCGTGTCTAGTTGTGTGAATTCCAATATTTATAGTGAATTGCACAATTCACTGTAATTCAGGAACTCAAAATTGCAACGTGGTGGCAAAGGGTGTTGGCACAGTGCTGTCTGTGCTTGGCCAAGCCAAGATTATTTTAATATGTGGTTTATATAATATTGCTTTCCAATGCAATCTTCTTTGAAATGCAAGCAGATTTTTATTTCAATCTGTACTACTTGATGTTTCTCAAAATCTGTGGCTTTTTATTTGAAGAAGAAAAATGTCCTGCTATCAGAACTAGTCATAAAACAAGGAGGAAAGAGTGTAGAGAATATAGATTTGACTTGTTCAGCTTAAATATATATATATATATATATATATATATATACATTTTAAGCTGAGTAGTAATTCAGCTTAGTAATAAACTCTTCTTTTGCTTACTTCATCCTTAATATATTATACACCCCAATTTAATAAATTTAAATATGCTTAACACTTAGCCTCTATTCAATTTCTTTCATATCCACCACACTCTCCTCCCCCAACCTCCAGGTTACAATGAAGATCATAGCCATGTCACCTGCTGGTTTCTGGCAAAGCAGAAGAAATCGATATGATCTCCTGGTGACATCACTTGGTGTTGTATGGGTAGTACTTCACTTTGCCCTCCTGGTAAGCAGATAAGTAAATTTGATTTTAGTTCATAGTTTGAGTCCATTTTACTCCTATCTGGTATCCCTGTAAGGATCTCTGGTGGCATAGTGGTTAAAGCATTCTGCTGCTAACCCAAAGCAGCCACTCTATAGGAAAAAGATGAATCATTCAGCTTCTGTGAAGATTTATAGCCCCGGAAACCTTATGGGGCAGTTAGTTCTACTCTGTCCTAAAGGGTTGTTATGCAATCAGTCCTAGCGACTGGTACACCATCTGATCTGCAACCTATACAACTATAAGACCAGAAGAACTAGATGGTGCCCGGCTACCACTGTC